TGAACATGTTTCACTACAAAATAAAATTGTAGAAGTCCCTCAACCCAAACAACTTCTGAAAATCACTTTTTTAAATGCCCGCCTATTTAGAAATAAAGACCTTAATAGGTCCATGATTATAAAACAAGTTTTGTGAGAACTGATTAAGGCAACTAGATCTAGATAGTTTGTTTTCATTTATTACAAATCCCACTGATTTGATCTGTTTGCTTCCCTCTCCTATTGTCCTCTGCCCTGAGAAACTTAAGCCATTCATTCTTTTTCTAATTCAAGAAGACAGTTTGAAGATTAAATTAAAGAAAAACATAGCTCTGCTTTAAGACTGTACACCACAGTCACAAGTGAAATTAATATATCCCAAGATAAAATAGGATAAACTATAACACTGCTATTTATTTAATTCAAAGTATTTCCATTCTCACATTTAGAAGAGCCAGGCAGGCAAGGTTTCTTCACCTGTAAAGGATTGGTTTATGTTGTCTTTAAGTTCTCTTCTGTCTCTAGGGACTATGATTTTCTATTTAATCCTCTTGAAAACAGGCACAAAGAGCTGTAGTATGACTTCCCTGAGGCTAAACAGAAGCTTGTCAACAATGGCTGGGGTTAGACACTTCATGCATCCCTACATTCACTGGGGATATGAATCAGCCTCAGCTCACTATCTAAGTGTTCGGTAACTTGACAGAATGTTTTGGACAGAGTCAAAAGAAGGTAAGGAGGGAGTAAGAGTTAGGAACTTTGTACTTTCTTTTTTTAAGCCCTTCACATCTGTCTACCAAATCTGATCTAAAGCAACAAGTTAGACCTCATCCACTTATGTTCTTACATTAACATCTAGAAATGACATAAAACTTGTATGTTTTACATTTCTGCTCTTGGCCAGGGGTAAAAATGAATCAAGGATAATTTAATCACATTTCACTTCTCATGGGACATAAGCTATACTGATTTAAAGAGAGAAAAGAAAGAACAAACGTATTTTTTAATGCTCTTCATTATTAATCAAAATCCTCCCTGGATCAAAAGCAATGATGAAGAGTTTGTCTACCCTGTCTTTAGCAATAAAAGATATTTCTATAAAGTGATAATCACCAAAGGATTGATTCAGTCAGAATACTCTTTTTCTTTTTTTTTTTTCTTTCTTTTTTTTGAGTTGGAGTCTTACTCTGTCACCCAGACTGAAGTGCAGTGGCTGGGGCAGCCACTGCAGCC